GGGGGCCCGGGGGCGCGCGGGGGCCCGGGGGCGCGCGGGGGCCCGGGGGCGCGCGGGGGCGAGGAGCGGGCGCGGCCGCCTAGGCTGTGCTTGGGGCGGCGCCCACGCCTGGTCCGCCCCCTCCTCCCTATCCCTGGCTGGGAGACGCGTGCCCACCCCGCGCCTCTCCCTCTCCCTCCTCAGTACTTTTTATGCATTTTGAGAGCTAAAGGGACCTTGCAACCAGCTGAGCTCCAGGCGGTGTTTGGCCCCTGGGAATCCATCCATGTTGCCAGCCAGTGAGTAAGGGCAGAGAGGATGTTTGTGGGAGGACAGTGGGATGGAGGTGTGCCGGGGGGAAGGCAGAGTCTGTGTGGTCCCATCTGCAGAGAGCTGCTCTTGCATCTGGAGGCTGGAAATTGGGGAGCGGGCCTAGAGAGATTCTGTCACCACCTGGAACTCTACACTCGCTTTGCTGCCAACGAGGAGCAATCTAGGGCCACTCTCCAGGTACCCCCGATTTCTCAGAGAGGTATTCCTACTTTGGGCATTTGTCCATTCTTTATTTTCTTTCAATACATATTGTGCATCTACTGTACATGCTACACCTAGAAGAATCAGACAAGACTCTTGTCCCAGAAAATTAATAGTCTGGATAGATTAGTTATGTGCAACAAGTAAATGTAAAGGCTGCATGAATACCAATCTCTGACCCTCTTACTGCTTTTCTTGTATCCCAAACCCTACCTGAACTTAGAAGTGGCTAAGGAAGAAGCATTTCAGAAAGTTTGTACAGCTTCAGGAGGGGCGTCCTGAGTTTGGGGGCCTTCGGCTAGTGGATCTGCTTCCCTTACCACTGAAACGTCTCCAACAGTAAGTGACCCTCTGATTCTACCTTGATCCCTTCTCTGATGCTAACTTACGTTCATTGACCCTTACCTAGTTCTGCACAAGTATTTGTATTCTTCAGATCTGTACCTTCTACTGGGAAGTGATCCTGACTAAGGTCAAGGTGAGGTGGATAGTGCTGGGCTTAAATCAGTAACACCATTATTTGGAATTCTGTCTCAGATACTGCCTATGACTCTGGGCAAGTCACTTAATCCCTTTTGGCCTCAGTTTCCACTTCTATAAAATAGGAATGATACCAGTAGTACATACTGATTGGGGTTGTTGTAAAGATCAAATGAAATAAAGTATGCAAAGTGTTTTTTAAATCTCAAGCACTAGATAAAGGTCAGCTATTATTATTATGACTAGGTTCAGGGGGCAGCTAGGTGGTGCACCAGCCCTGGAGTCAGGAGGATCTGAGTTCAAATGCAGCCTCAGACCAGACACTTGACACTCACTAGCTGTGTGACCTTGGGCAAGTCACTTAACCCCAATTGCCTCACCAAAAAGCAAAAAAAAAAAAAAGACTAGTTTCAGCCAAACTCCTTTGGCTGCCAAACACTGAGCATTGGTATCTTGATTTAAATACCCAAATATCTGGTTATGCTGCCCTTTTCATAAACTTTGTCCTTAGGGAATATGAACAATATTATGACTTAAGTAACCCCAGGGAAGTAAGGGCTGGTGATCTGTAGTCCTTTGTAGATTTCTCCCTATATTCATTCCCTCTCCCCATAGCTCAGTAAATATCTCTGAAATTCCATCTTGGTTACTTGTGGTCACCTGAGGTTTCAGTCAGGGAAATGGGGAAAGAGTGCCCTCTAGTCCTGGATGGAAGAGCAAGGTTTGAGGACATACTCTGAGCTCCAGATTGGTGTAGGAATAGAAAAAGTAAAGGAAGCTTCAAGCCAGAGCTGCAAAAAACCAATCCCTTCAAGCCAGGAAATGCAAAAACCAGATGTGTCAATAACACTATGCTTTGTGGAAAGGTGGCACTCTGAATAATGGATGATTTTCCCAGGCCTAGTTGGGACTAATATTCCTAAAGCCTCAGTCTATTTGTGTTTCAGATATGAAAACCTGGTTGTAGCTTTGGCTGAAAATACAGGTCCTGACAGCTCTGACTATCAACAGCTCACAAGTATGTTTGCCCTGAGCCAACATCATTAATATATTCCAGACTGTAAAGCTGGCCCCACAGTTAGAACCCTGATCTTTAGTCTCATTTTTCTTTCTCTTCTTTGCTGTATTATAATACCTTGTTTCCAGTTGCTTTATTAATCAAATGGCATTTTTTGGGGGGGGGGTTGTCATTTTAGGGGCTGCTCTGAAGTTAAGTGAGGTCACCCAGCAGGTTAGTGCTATTGGTCGAGAACACGAGAATGGCCGGCAGCTCCATCGTATTCAGACTTTACTCAGTGGCAGTCGGGCTAAAGGTCTGACCAAAGGTCAGAAAGCCCCAACCCCCTACCCTTCTGGTACCTCTGTTCCACACAGGCCTTTAAGATTCTTCTCCCTCAACATCTCAAAATTCTTCTTAGGGAAGTAGCACATTCCCAGTGTCATCCCTGGTCTTTGTGAATGATGCTAACCACGTTTCCCTCTTTCTTTCTCTACCACAGGGCGCTGGTTCCTTCGGCAGGGCTGGCTACTAGTGGTCCCCCCTAAGGGGGAGCCAAAGTCTCGAATGTTCTTCCTATTCTCTGATGCACTTTTGATGGCCAAGCCCCGGTCTGTCCTATATATCCTGCATGGAGGGACCTTTATATGTCAGGCCCTTTATCCCATGGCCCAATGTCAGCTCCGGAGGATCTTTGGTCACTCGGGGGGACCAGGGGGTGGCCTGCTCAGTGTAAGTCATGAGACTGGGGTTGGGGGTAGGGAGCCTGTTCCCTGGGGTAAACCCACAGTTCTTTTATTCCCAGCCTCTAGATCAGGCCCACAACTACCCCCTGCCCCAAAATAAATGTTAAAACATCTGCTCTTTAAAAAAACAAAGCAAACCAAAAACATACACATGACACACTTTTGAGTTTAATCTGCAGTATTATTAACATCCATCACTTTAAGTCTAGACAATCAACAGAACAGTAAGGCAAGCCCCAATTTGTAGAGGACACACGGTGGCCAATCTGACAACCCTACAAGACAGAGATAGGGCCCCAAACTTCCCTGAGTAACCTATTTAGATCAGTCTTTAGGAATTTCTTTTAAAACTTAAGACACTGTATAGGAGCACTGAACTAGGAGTCAGGAGACCTGGGCTTCAGTTCCACTGTGTTATACCACTAGCTAATGTATGAATTTGGGCAAGTCACAGCCACTCTGAACCTCAATTTCCTCATGTGTAAAATTAGGGGACTGGACTAGATGACCTCTAAGGATGCTGCCAGCTCACAGACTCAGATTACACCCCCTTACAACTCCTTCCCCTAAGTCTTCCCCAGGGGTTAAGGAAAAAGGTCCCGTCCTCCTATCCCTTCCCAGATAGCTCAGACCTTGACTCTATACCACCACCAAGCTCTGTACATGACAGGCAGTGTGGTTCAATGGATAGAGAGCTAGCTTTTGAACCAGTTAACACCTGACTTCAGGTCCCAACTCTTGACCCATACATACATATACAGATGACTGGGCAAATCACTTAACTGTAGTACCCTACACCAGGGGATGGCAAATGGACTGCCTTCTATTTTTGTACTGCTGTAAGCTGAGAATGGTCTTTACATTTTAAAATACCAGTTCTAGAAAAGTACAGAAAAATAATTTAGCCATGGGTTATAATTTGCCAACCCCTGCTTTAGACAACTCTGTAATGCTGTAAATTGTAGAGAAGATACAGACCTCTCCTGGAAGTTCCCTCTTCCGGTAGCATCACAAGTCCAGTCCCTATCCCCATCCTGAATCGACATAACCATCCTTTCCCTGGATAGTAGTGCCTTCTGCTTCAGGACTGCCTTTTCTGGGTAGGCAACTTAGATGTTATTTTCCACCCCCAGCTTTCTTTTCCCCATGAAAAGCTGCTCCTCATGTCCATGGACCAAGAGGCACTATCCCGTTGGTACCACAGTCTGACCATAGCTATCAGGTATGCCTTGAATCTCCCCTGGTTCTAGGGACTGATTTAATGATGTGCAACTACTGTTTTTCCCCTCACCGTTTATGTACTCTACCTTTCTCAGGCTCCCAGTGTTCTCATTCAGACTGGGGATATGGCTCACTTAGTATTCTTTCTCTACAGCAGCCACACAAGGTAGAAGAGCACCTTACAGCTGTTTCCAGTTAGATATGGGAAGTCTGACTGCTTTGAAGCTTCAGCATCGCTAGAACGTGTAGCTGGCCACTATCTGGTGGTAAAGAATATGGTGACGTGTGTATGATATATATATTTATGTTTGATTGAGCACATTTATATTTGATTGAGCACAAATGTTTTGGATGATCAAGTTGTATACTTAAATGGAATAACTTTTATTTTTATTACGTCTCAGCTCCTTGAAGAGGATCTACTTCCTCAAATCAGAGCTTTGATTCCCTACCAGGTTTTCTAAAACTCATACCATTCCCTTACCTCATGAGGTTTTATCTTATACCCTCTCTCTCAGTGTGTGACTTGTGTCCCTTCCATCCATTTCCTCCTCCTGAGCTCCCACTCCTTCCCATTTTCCCCAAATTGGCCCCAGGAGCCATTTGGAGCCCAGGCCTCAGTTACTCCCTCCTCAGGTTCCTCCCCCCAGCCCCCAGTCTGAAGGTCACTGTCATCATCTTCCTCAGCACTCGGGTCCTCATGGATAGGGGGGTTGTACTCTGTGTGTGGAGGGGAAGGGGGTAGCATGAGTCCTCAGATCAGATAACATCAGACACCAAACATCTGATATTCTACTCCAAGAGCCCCTACCTTGGGAAGCAAGAGTGGCATCCAGCCTTTTGTCCTTTAACAGCTGGCTGATGGTGTGAAGCCTTAGGGTCAGCAGGTCCTGCTGGGCTCCAGCCAGAGCATCCACACTGCAGAGATGCCCAGTCAGGCCTCCTACCTGCCTTCTTCCATTGCCCCAGCAGCCACCCTCAGCCCGGCCTGGACCCACCGGCTCTCACCGCTCAAACAGAGGGTCCAGCTGGTCCAGCAGGCCACCCAGGAGCTGCTCCGTCTTGGCCAGTTCTTGAGCCAGCTGCTCTTCTGGGGAAGTAAGAGACGGCATTTACCACCGGACTTCGGTCGTCAGAGGCGAGGGGCCCCTGACCATCCCCCCTCCCCGGCCCGGCCCTCACCTCTGCGCAGAAGCTCCTTCTCGGCGGACTTGTCCTCCGGGGAAACTTCGGCGTCCTCTTGTCCCTAAAACGAGGCAGGGCAGCTCGGTCCCCAGCACACCACTCCCGGGGGCCCGCGCCGCCCCCCGGCCCAGGCGGATCTCGCCGTGGGGCTCCCTTCCCGGCGCCGGCCCAGCCCCATCCCGGCCCCGGCACCTGCAGACATCGGCGCAGCACGAAAGCCAGGACGCCCACGGCGTACAAGGCTCCCAGGGGCAGCGGCCCCCACGCCCGGCCCGCCGGCCGCGGCTCCTCCAGCGTCCTCCGCAGCCCGTCTCGGGCTGGCTCCCCTGCAGAGCGAGGCCACAGTCGGGGTCACGATGGGCGAATGGCTCCGGAAGGTCCCCGCCTCCGCCCGCGCCCCTTCCCTCCCCTCCTCCCGCCGCCCATTACCTGCGGGGGGTCGCGGCCCGGTGCCGCCCTCGAAGACCCGGAGTGCTGCGGACAGGAGGAGCAGCGCCAGAGCGGCCGGCAGCAGCGCTGGGCCGCAGGGCCCTGGCGCCGGCATGTCGGAGCGCGACGCTAGCCGGAACCCGCAGGCCAGCAGCCCGGAAGCAGACGAATGACGCATCCCGTGACGACACACGTATGTGCGCCTAGCTGACCCCGCCCACAACAACGCAGCGAGCTCAGGAAGAGGGTGGCTAACGCCTTCATTTACATAATATATTCACCTAACTCGTCTCCAAGTGCATGCTGGCCTCCTTTCTCTCTCAAATTCTCCTAGGGTATTGTTTCTTTCGATGATTTTTTCTCGATAAGCTACTTTTCTTACTTTGTCTTCAAGTAAAAGCTCCATTTCGGAGAGCCTAGAAGTTGTTGTTATTCTAACCACACAATAAAAGAGTGTATGATTTCTGGGTCTTTATAAACCCCGTGGGGTTCCAATAGTATCGAGGCGCTTGCTGAAGGCCTGTTGCCTAGGCTACGAACGGGGGATCTGTTCCTCACCCTGCGCCTAGGGGAAAGTCCCCGGACCTCGGGCAGAAAGTGCCGCGCGCGCTTGTGCGTTTGGCCGCCGTCGCAGCTCCAGTACTCCCGCTAAGAAGCACCTCCACTTCCGTGGAAGCGCTGAGCGGAAGGAGCGCGGCGAAGGTCGTGTTTAGTCAAGAAAATAGTTACGCAGGCAGTGCGCCTCATGCGCGCTAACTCAACGGGGCTCATTCTCAGCGCGTCTGTTTTTATCAGCTGTTATTGAGCAATTGGGTTTCAGTCTATCCATAACTATGCTAGGCCATAGGGAAACAAAAAGAAGCAAAAAAAAAAAAAGTCCCTGCTCTAAAGGAATATTACAATCCAAAGGAGGAAATAATATGCAAATGTTCACAAAGCGAGTACCGGGTAAATAGGAAATATTTTTTAAAAGAGAAGGAATTGAAATTAACATGGGTTGGGGAAGGTTAGATGAGAGCGATCAACTGAATCAAAGGCTGCAGAAAGGTCAAGGACAATAAGGACTGAGAAAAGGCCATTGGATTTGGCAACTGAGAGATCACTAGTAACTTTGGAGAGGGCGTTTCTGTGGAACGATAAGGTTAGAAGCCAGATTGTAATCCACATGTACAAAAATACAGCAGCTCTTTCTGTGGTGGTAGAGAACCAGAAATTGAGGGGATGCCCATCAACTGGGAAATGGCTGAACAAGTTGTGGTATATGAATGTAATGGAATACTATTGTGCTACAAGAAATGATGAGCAAGCAAACTTCAGAAAAACCTAGAAAGACTGGTATGGAGTGATGATGAGTGAAGTGAACAGAACCAGGAGAACACTGCACACTGTAACAGCAACATTGTGTGATGACCGACTTGGTTAGACTTACCTCTTCTGAGCAATGATCTAAGACAATTCCAAAAGATTCAGGATGGAAAATGCTATCCACTTATAAAGAACTATGGAGTCTGAATGCAGATTGAAGCTTACAATTTTCTTTTTGTTGTTTTTTTCTGTCATGGTTTTTCCCTTTTATTCTGATTCCTCTTTCACAACATGACTAATGTGGAAATATGTTTAATATAATCATACATATATAACGTATATCAGATTGCTTGCCATCTTGGAGAGGGAGGAGTGGGGGGGGAAGAAGTTAGAACTCAAAATCTTATAAAAAGGAATGTTGAAAACTAAAAATAAATAAAAAAATAAAAATGGGGGGGGAGCCAGACTGTAAGGGCAAGAGAGGAAGAGGAGAGAGTGGAAGCATCTATATTGTAGATGCTACGAAAGGCAGAAAAGATATAGGAAGACAGCAGTGATGAAAGGATCAAGGGAGAATTTTTTCAGCATAGGGGAGACATGGGCATGTTTGTAGGCTGTAGGAAATGAATCAGGCAGTTAGGTGGAGCGAGTGGACAGAGTGCTGGGTCTGGAGTCAAGAAGACTCATCTTCCTGAGTTCAAATCCAGCCTCAGACACTAGCTGTGGGACCCTGGGCAAACCACTTCACCCTGTTTGCCTCAGTTTCCTCATCTGTAAAATGAGCTTGAGAAGGAAATGGCAAACCACTCTAGTATCTCTGCTAAGAAAACCACAAATGGGGTCATGAAGAGTCAGGCAGAGTGGAAATGACTGAACAACAAAAGGGAATGAGTCAGTAGGAAGGGAGAGATTGAAAATAAGTGAAAGAGTCAGGAAGACAGAGGGGACAATCCATTGGAGGAGACAATATAGTCTAAGATCACTTGAACAGGTAGATGGCTTAGCCTTGGTAAGGAGAAAGCTACTTCTTCATATGAAACAGGGATGAAGGAGGACAGACTGGCAGAAGGCACCTGAGTGACAGGGGATGAGGAAGAGGGGAGAAAGAATGGCCTCATTTTTTTCTGCAATATATGAAGCCAAGTTCCCAGCTGGAGGGAGGGGTAGGGAAGGGAAGAGAAAGCCACGGGGGGTTTGAGGCGGGATGAAAAGGTTTGGAAGCACTGTTTCGGAGAGTGGGATACTGAGTTCATGAGGGAGGTATAGTAGGATTGTCTTGCAGCAGTGACAGCCTAGATGAAGTTGTGTGTCATAAATCTGCAGTGGACCCAGTCAGAATGGTCATGTGATTTTTCTCCACCTTCTTTCAGCAGCACGTATGTAGGCACAAAGGCAAAAAAGGGTGGGGATGACCCAAGGCTTGGCAGGGTGTAATGGGCAATATGATAAGGGGCCAGAGATTCAAGAGAAAAGGACAGTGTAAAGTTGAATAGGTTCATCAGAGAGTTAAGATGGGGAGACCAGGACAGAGAGGTTGGTGTAGGGGAGATGACCTGGGACAGAACTGAGAGTTCAAGGGATTGGTGGTCATAGCAAGGATGAAGAGTAGGGTCATGTAAGGGACAGTCCAGGGAAAGGTGAAAAGCCAATAGATTATAGTTAGATAAGGGGATTCAGAATTCTTGAACATGGAGGTGATGGTACCTTTGCCAATGATGACAAGATCAGAAGTATGATTATCTTTGTTTGTGGCTGAGGTTGGATGGAGGAATAGGTCAAGTGAAGTGGACAGGTCGAGGAACTGAGTGGTTTGGGTGTCTGAAGGAGAATCAATGTGTATGTTGAAGTCCTCTAGTATGAGGACAGAATTTGAGGAGGAGAGTTAGTTAATAAATATTTTATCAAGTGCCCAACCAGGCACTTTGTTAAGCACTGGGAATACAAAAAAGAGGCAAAAGACAGTGTCCAACTTCAGGAAGGTCACAGAAGGGGATAGGAACAACACAGAAGCTATATACAGGATAAATAGGAAATGATTGAGAAGGCACTAGAGTTAAGAGGGGTTGGGAAAGGCTTCCCACAGAAGGGGGAATTTTAGTGGGCTTTTCACCTCTCCCTCTGCTGTCCCTTACATAAGGTTGATAGTTAGAGCTTGGGGGGTAAGTGTTCTTGGCATGGGGGACAGCCATAAAAAATGCCCGGGGCAGAGAGGTGGAGTGTTTTGTTTGTGGAACAGCCGGGATGGAAGAGAATGTGGTGGGGAGTAATGTGTAAGAAGACTGTAAGAAGAAAGATAAGATGGGGCTAGATTATGAAGGGCTTCAAAGGCCTAACAGAGCATCCTGCAGGCAACAGGGAGTCACTGGAGTTTACTGAGTAGGCGAGTGACATGGTTAGATCTGTGTTTTAGGAAAATTACTTTAGACTGAGTGGAGAATGAATAGGAGTGGGAAAAGAACAGGAGCTTGTTAGCAGGAGATTCTAGACAGGTTGTGCCTAAGTTTAACAATAATAGTTGAACTGTTCTGTTAAATAGGGTACTTGGAACTCTTACTCCATTTTCTTGTAATAAAAATATCATAAAGAGTTTGGGTTCCTAGGCTAGCCCACAGAAGCTTAGAAGCACTATACTAATAGGAATGGAAGGAGATACCATTTCTTTTCAAGAAGCTTTTGGCCCAGTGGCCCCTACCCCAACCCAGCCCTGAAGCATCCTCAGCCTAGATGCAGGAATGTAATTTAATGGAAAAAATTTGAGAAAGCTTGTGCCTCCCTTCTCACCTGTCCCACTGGCATAAAAAAGAAAGAAAGTAGTGGGGGAGGTGAATGCTCAGTCTTACTTGTCTCCATAGACAGGGAAAGGAGGCTGGAGAGAAGGTAGCGAAGAGCACCAGAAAGCTGGGAGACGTTACCTCCAGCAGGGGAAGAGATGAATGCAGAGCCAGGAGACACCAGAGCTCATCACTTGCCTTGTTTATCACTAACCAAGTCTAAAGGAAGCTTATGCTCTGTCCTTTGACTACAGATTAAAGGAAACTAAGGTGAGGTGGCTGAAAAGGAAGGCTGGGGTTGGAATAAAGAGGGCAAGGAGGTTTTATTGGGGTGCTGCTGAAATCTGGTTGAGGGAGGGCAAGGAGAGTTATGTTATCAGACTTGTATGTTAGAAAGATTAATTGGATGGCATGTTATAGATGGGAAGAGGCTGGTAGCAGGGGAGACCAGTTAGAATTCAAAGAAAGGGGTGAGAGGTCTAAACTAAGGTGGGTATTCTGGGAATGGTAGATACATTGTAGCATACAGAACTGGAAATGACTTAAAGAAGGGGTAAGAGGGAGGAGGTTCCTTCTAATCTGGAGAATTGAGCTGGGTGGTTCTAGTAATGGGGAAGCTAGAAAGGAGAAGCAGTTTTTGGGAAGGGTCCTGAATTTCATCCCTCCCCTCCATCCCTCAGGGCTCCTTGACCCCACTGCACTGCAAGGCCTACTCACTCTGAATCACAGTGACAGAAAGGCAAGGTAGATACATGTATAAAGAGGCTTGGGCCAAAGTGCCCTGGGTTAATAGATCTGAAATCTCCTGCCTTTAAGTCAACATGGAATTACCTTCCTTCAATATTCCACAGAAGCCATTAGGTCAAACTGAAGAGAAGAAAGAGAGTGAGAGCAGGAGATATTTAATCCGACTCCCACAGCTGGGGAGGGGGGAGCATTTCCCCCATCTCTGTGCTCCGGAAGGAAGCTCCTGTGGCTTCTGCAGCTGTGGCTGAGTTGTTGAGCTTCAGGGGACAGGGTGAACTTGGTCCTGGGGGAAAGACAGCTGGGGCTCTGAGCCCAGAGTGATCTGGCCACTGGAGACTGAGTAGCAGTGCCTATTTCTCCTGGGACGCTCTTGCCCAGATATCTTTGGCATTAATGAATACGAAAGAATGCTTAAATGTTACAGCTGGTGAGGTGGGGACTGGAGGGTGGATGGGTGTGACCAGGTTGGAGGTGGGGGATAGTTTGGCTGGAGGGGGAGGGCATGGCCAAGAAGAGGGTGTGGTGACAGCCCAGTGATTACTGCTTTCAGGGTTCCCGGGCTTGCACTGTGCCTTTGGGCTGTGGGCTGTGCTTGGGGTGGTGACCCTGTTGCTGCTTTTGGCACTGGCTGAACACCTAGTCCGATGGACCAGAGAAAAGAGCAAGCCTCTCCAGGGACAGGAAAGGTAAGTACTGTCGGTGAAAGGTACCAGACAGAGGCCTTTCCCTCAGGCACCCCTAATCCTTCAGAGACTCCAGAGGGATGTTTCTGTACCATCAACTTTCTTGTCTTATTTGTTCACACCAGAACATCACTCCCACCCTTTATATTGCAGCCCCAAGAGGCCTGTGGAAGAGGTACCACTTTATGGGAACCTGACATACCTGCAAACAGGTGAGGGGGAGGGAAGTGGCGTAAGGCAAAGGGGTTTCCGGAGCAAGTGAAAAAGGGATAGAGGGACTGAGGAACTCGTGAATGAGGGTCTTGTTCCATCCTGTCTCAGGGCGGCTACCACAGAAGCCAGGGCCCATCCTGCAGGAGCAATCAGCAGGAGACATCCCTCGAGTAAGTTTGACTTGGTGCACAATGGGTGGGGAATCTAAGGATGAGGGGATCTTGGGGTCCCCTTCACACATCCTAACCTGCCTCTGTATCCCTAGGCTAGGGAGGAAGCTATGTGCTATGCCAGCCTGCAGCTGCAGCCCCCTCAAGGACGTCCCCCAGGGCCCAGTTCGGGGCCACCCATCAAGTACTCAGAGGTAGTGATGATGCTGGAGCCTGAGCAGTCTGCCCCCACACCCCGGCTCCCAGAGCCCGAACTCTACGCCTCTGTGGGCTCCCAGACCCGCCGAGCAGCCTTTCCTAATGAGGACTATGCCAATAGCCAGCCAGGAGACGGATGAGGGACGACCCAGATCAAAGTATCAGATGCATCTTGGGGGAGGGAAGACAGGAAAGAGGCCATCATCCATAGGAAGAAGACCTATCTTGACTTTTCTTTTCAGCCCACAGTTGCTCTAATTTAAGTTATGACCATGGGAGATAGCAGGGGAATGGCTTCTTTGGAGTACCGGAAATTAACCCCCAATAGATAGAAGCCTATCTGTCTATACGAGAAAGCAGGGGAAGCTTCCAGACTGGACATGAGACCAACTCCACCCTCAAACTCCCCCTGCTTGGGTGGTTATTGCTTTCATAGCTCCTCCCATCTCTGTCCCTCTGAGGTTAACCAGTTCCGGCCCCAACTACACTTCTCTAGTTTCTTCAGAAATACAGGAAGTGGTGGTGGTGTTCTGGGGGGTGGGTGGGCAAGCACACATATCTGTGTGCACCTGAGAAGACATGAGTGCCTGGGAGCCATTTATGCAAGAAAAGGTATGTATACATGAGAACACAAGAGAGCAAGCATAGATGTGAGAGCCATGTGCGCCAGGATGTTTGCCTGTATGTGTGAGCAAGTGTCCTTCTGGCCAGGTACAAGCAAGACAACGGGGATGCCTGCAGCATTCACCTTCAGCCCCTAAGACAGGTTCCAAGAAACTGAAAGAACAGGGTGGAGTCAGGGGCACAGTCCCCTCTCCTGCTATTTTGATTTTTTTAATCAAATAATCTCTCACTGTAAAAAAAGGATGCATATTTCTCTTTTAAATTAAATATTTTCTAAAATATGAGGACATTTACATAAAAGTCTCCAGTCTTGGGAATAGACTACTTGGGGCGGGGGACCGGGGGCTCTGTATTCATCAGCAGTAGAAGGAAGGTGAGAGAGAGTTGTCTTATTGGCTTGAGCTCCTGCCACAGCTTGGGAGGAGTGGGTCCAGATTCATAATGGGGCAAACCTGGGTGGGGGCAGGATGGTCTCCTCCTTTAGGCAGGGGCTGGCTGGGGCAACAGGAACAGAGGAGGTATGAGAAGAGGGCAGGCCCAGGGCAGGGGGGTGAGCTCTAGTGGGAGCGGGTGTGGGCATGAGCAGGGCCCGGGGACTCTGCCAGCTAGGGCTGTACATCAGCAGTGCCTGCAAGGTTTGGCCCATCTGGCCCAGGCCATCAGACAGCAGGTGCAGGTGGGAGATGGTGTCCTGGGCCAAGCTCTCGAGCAGCGCCTGCTGCTGCCTTGATGTCTGCAAGATCTGCACCAGAAGGTCCTGCATGTTCTGGAGGAGGCTCACCACCCCGGGGCCTGCAACAGTGCACCAGTGGGAGGTCAAGGCCTCCACCTGCCACCCCCAGGACCAGGCCCCATGCCCCAGAGAAGGATGGCAGGAGGGATGAAGCTTACCTTGCAGTCCTGACATGTGGGTGGGCTCTTCTCTAGCTCCTTGAGAGACCAGATCTGGCCTGACTGGAATCTCTGGCACCAAGGCTGGAGGCTCTTCTGGGGTAGGAGGCAAAACAGCATGCTAAACCCTGCCGGGCTCCATGTCCACATGCTCCTCCACTGCAATGAGGATTCTGTCCTAACTTAGCTCTGTGAGACTGGTGGAGTCAGCACCCCCGTATTCATCTGGCTCCAAGGTAGGGGCTGTTCTAAGCTCCCTTGAGGACAGAGAAGGGATCGATGGACAAAGCTAGCTGACTTGGTCATGGTGAGAAAGGCTCTAAAGAAGTAACCACCTGAGATGAGAACTGGGAGTGGGTTCTTTTTTTTTTCTTTAGGCAATTGGGGTTAAGTGACTTGCCCAGGGTCACACAGCTAGTGTCAAGTGTTTGGTCTGAGGCAGGATTTGAACTCAGGTCCTTCTGATTTCAGGGCCGGTGCTCTATCCACTGTGCTACCTAGCTGCCCTGGGAGTGGGTTCTTAAGGAACTCAAAGGGAAGAGCCTCTGGAAAGTTCAGTGACCCAACCTTCCAGGACCCTTTCCTCATGCTTTCTGCCAACAGATTCCCCCCCACCCCAACTCCATGTTCTCACTTCCACCCCTCAGGGGGTTTTCTTCCTCACGTTCCCATCTCCTCTCTTTCCGCAATACCCTCATTCCTCTGGAGACTCCTCATGCCCTCCTGGCTGGGGTTGTGTCCTTCCCTACCCAGGATGGCCTTAGAGGCCCCATGTCACCTAAGAAAAATGAAACTTGTCAGCCTCACCTGGAATCTGGGAGGGGGCAGAGTTGGCCTGCTTCTCCTCAGGAGCTGCAGGAGGAAGACAGATACATTCAGCTTTACCTACTGACCCTAACTTTGACCCCACCCTCCATGGATCTCCTAACCTAACCTCCTCATCTTGTTTCCCCACATGCTAGAGTTAGGGAAAGACTAGTCAGTTGGTCCCATAGCGTATAATCCCATCAGAAGGGGGGAGCATGCAAAAGAAGGCACATTTTATAAAATGTGCATACTGAAATCCCAGAAAATCCCAAAAAAGTGCCTGCTGTCGCACATGGGCATTAAGTCTGTGCTAAGTCACGTGCCCTCCAGGAAGGGCCGGAGCCTGGTGGACTGAGCCTGTGGCTCCTCCTCCTTCTCTGTGAAACCTTCCCTGATCCCCAGCTACCAGCTGTTGTTTCCTCCCAGAAGAACAGAAGTTCCTTCAGGGCACAGACCATTTCATTTGTCTTTGCATCTCCAGCAACCAGCTCAGTGCCAAGCACATGGTAAGAACTTAATAAGGTGACCAGGGCATCTGATGGAGCAGGGGGCAGTGACTTTCCAACCCTGCCTCAGGCACACAAACACTTGTCTCAGTTCTGCTCTCCCACCAAGTCCCATAGGCCTCAACCTCTCTCAGCTTTCTTCTCCACACAGCTCCTGGGAATACTCACGGGTGGATTCTTTCTTGGCACAAGGTGGCGGTCCTGTTTCAAGGTTTGTGTCAGAACCTGGGTAGTTGGGAGAGAAGAGTGTCAGCCTAAGGCTAGGACACCTTGCTCCCCACAAATTCCAGAAGCTCTGCATCATTCCCAAGATTGCATCGTGAGCTGTGTTTTATTTCTGTCTTTGAATCCTCAATGGAAAGCCAGCGTCTGGTACACAGACGGCACTTAGTAGATGACTGTGGATCAAATGTGCCTCCCCTTCTCCATTTCCCACCTACCCACTAACCCAGTAGCTTAGCTCTGGTGGGAACCTCCGGCTGAGCATAGTACTTCCCAGGCAGGAGCTTCACCAGACCTGGGGAGGGCAGGACTAGAAATGTCAGGAGCGTGGGGGAAGACACTTGCAACCATTCTCCTTTTCTTGCTAGCCCTGGGGGTTCCATAAAGAAACCTTAGGTAGAAGGCCAAAATGTGGAGCCTCTGGGTTCTGGTGAGATTCTCCATCACCAGGGCTATCCCCTTACCTGGCAGGCGACGCTCTCCAAAAACTGGCCTTCCTGCAGCCTTCCATAGTCTCTTCATGGTGCGGTAGTGGGGTGGGGGCTGAGGGGAGGGACCTCCTGCCTGGCGGCTGGTCTCCCACTCTGAATAGAAGGCTTGCTTCAGTGCCTTCCACTTGGATCGGCACTGAGCTACACTTCGACCGTAGCCTGATGCCCCCAGTCCTTGGGAGATGGACTGCCACAAGGCCTCATTAGGCCTTGAAGTGGAGGCCATGAGCAACGTGACCTCCCCAGAGTCCTGGATCAGGGTCAGGAGGCAGCTGATCTCCTGTTGGGTCCAGGCCCGGCCCCTGGGCATCATTCAGGCTTCTCTCTCTACACTGGGCACCAAAACCCCAGGGAAGGAGAGACTTGGGGGAGGGGGCTGTCACAGATGGCCTATGGGACACAGATAAAAACAAAAAGACTGAGGTAGGCTGGTTGGGACAAATGGAGCAAGGGAAGGGATTTGGGGTACTAGAAACAAAAGAGATCTGATATGAGGTTTATTCATTGACTGACATGTGGGAGGGTTCAAGGGATCTGGTGGGAAGGAAATGGAAGTACCAGAGAGGTCAAGGGATCTTGTAGCCTTTCAGGAACAATGCTAGTTTGGTGAGATGGTTTGTCCAAAAGATATGAGTGGACACTGTGGGCTGGTTAGACAGAAACGTGTGAGAGGAGTGAGGTGTGATACCTGGGGAGAAGGTGCACAGTCCTGCTAGGGATTTCCAGTAGAGAACTGAAGATGGGGAATCCCAACAGGGAAATTCAGGATGCCTGGTGACAGAGCTGCAAAGTGTGTGGGGATCTCCAGCAAGGGTGGGCCTCTAGGATTGGGAATAGTTGAGGATAAGATATGTCACTTTGTCTGGGGCTGAAGAACTAACCCTCCCAGAAGTGTGAATGGCCACCAAAGGGTAGGTAATCAGATATCAGGCTGTGCATACGAATGGGGACCATTGGGATATCTGGAGGAGGGCACCCAGCCCCTCCAAAGGTGAATCTCCAGGCATTGGTGGGGATGGGGTCATAGGGAAGAGGGGTCATAGTTCAGGGCGTTTGGGGTTAGAACTGGAAAGTGGGAGTAAAGATAACCGAGGATGGATGCTGGGTGTCGACCTACCTGGGGCAGCAGCTTCTGGGGAGGGACTAGGTAGGGGATTGCTTTGGGGGAACTGGCATCTGTAGGGTATGTGTATAGGGGAAGGGTGGAGGAAAACAGCCAAGGATTGGGCAGGATCTGGAGGAGGGACCAGGGATGGGGTAGATGTCAGCATGCTTGGGGCTGGGGAATGTATTGAGTGTGAGTCCTTAAAGGAAGGAGAACAGGTGGGGATGGGAGTGTCAACATGTCTGGGTATGTGCAGTGTAAATATAGGGAAGGTCAAGGGGAGACAGACGTGGTTATGGACTGGGTGGGTGCAGGGTGTGGAGGAGAGTATCTGCATTCCTGAGGCTCAAGCTGTGGAGTGTGTGATTGTGGAGGGGTCGGGGTCAGGGGGAAAGGCAGGGAAAGGAAGAGGGAATGTGAAGAGTCTAGGGAAGAGGTCAGGCCTAGGAATGTGCACTGTGTGGAAGAGAAGGGGAAGGAGGGTCTGGAAGAGGGGTCAGCCTGGAGATGTTCACTGAGTGTGTGGTGGGGTGGGGGTGGAGGGAGGCTGGGAAGGGGGAGTGGAGGGTCTAGGGGAAGAGAGTTGGGGATGTGCTGCATGTCTGTACGGGGTAGGCGGGCTTGGGACGAGCTGGGTCTGGGGGAGGGGTCAAGGCTGGGGATGTGCTTTGTGTGTATGTGGGGTGGTGGAAGGAGGCACGGATGGGGGAGGGTCTGGGGAGGGGCCAGGGCTCGGGACGTGCAAGGTCCGGTAAGGGGTCAGGTCGGGGATATGCATCGTGTGTATGTGGGGGGGGTGGGGGGAGGGTCAGCATGCCTGGGCCCGGACGTGCAGGGTGCAGGGGGGGAGGGGCGCCCCGGGGCGGGGGCAGCCTGGGATGGGTGGGGCCGCCTCCAGCTCAGGTTGGGCCGGTACCTGCAGGAGTGTGAGAAGGAGGACCCGCGCCCTCCCCGCAGCAGCAGCCCAACCCTGCTCGGCCCGGGCTCCTGCCCAAAGCCCAGCCCCTTTCCTCAGCCTCCCTATCTTTAGGGCGAATGCCAAGCCCAGCCGCGTCTTCCCACAGACCCCCCGAACCAACACTGCGCATGTGTGACCTCCCCACACCCTCATCCGGCACCATTCACACACCGGGCCCTTACATCCGGGGAAATGGAGCCCTGGACCCGCCTTCCTTTCGAGGCATTCTGGGAAATGAAGTCTCGCAAAGCCTTCCGCCCTCTGCATTCTGGGAAATGGAGTCCTGGACTCGTGTCAGGCCCTCTGAAAACCGCTGAGGCTTGTGTCTCCTTTCCCCTGTATCATGTAGTGAAACCGTGGTGACGGCTTGTCGGGGATGATTTGGGGCTTCCTGCGGTCCTGACAACTGCACTTCATTTCATTTCTGAGAGCCTGGGATTCCCCAGGGTATTGACTTTTCTTTAAAATTTGTATTAAGCTGTTGTAAATAAGATAATAGGATCAAAGGACCATCGATTGAGAGCTGGAAGACGTCTTAAGAGGCCGTCTAGTGCAACCCGATTTAAAAAACAACAACAACAACAACAAAAACTATGTATTTTTAACAAAAAAATTTTGAATTCTGAATTCTCTCTCCCATCCCTCCTCCACCCACTGTGAAGGCAGGAAATGTGATATCAATTATACACGTGGAATCATGCAAAACATTTCCATACTAGCCAGGTTGCAAAAAAAAAAAAATGCAAGAAAAAGGTTTTTGTTTGTTTCTTTGTTTTAAACTAAAGGAGTCAAGTGAAGCTCAGCTGAAGCAAATGATTTGCCCAAAGTACACAGAAAGTAACCAGCACAGGCAGGATTCCATCCCAGGGATTTTGGCTCCAAATCCTGGACTCTGCATTACAACCTCCTGGTGTTGTTTCACTGATTTACATTATTACATCCTTTCAGAGACACTTGGATCTAAATTCCAATTTTGGTCTTCAAGTAGCCAAAACTGCATGCTGAAACCTGAGCCTTAAATGTCTCTGCCCTTCAGATTAGTGATACTGGAACAGGTGTAAAATGCTCCTTGCCACAACCCTTGGGTGGTCCAGAGTTCTGGGCCAACTGGCTCATCTTTCTTCCTGTCTCCCTCAAGTGAAAAACCTTGTAGTCATCATGGCAGCAGCCAGCCTTCCAATCATCACCTCTTGCAATATCTCTCCCATCTCTCCTCATTCCACTGCTACATGACTATTGTAGCTTGGTAACTTGTCTCCCTACCTCCAGTGTCTTCCCTCCTTCCCTTCCGTTCCCATTGCCATGTCCTTCCCTCCTTCCTTCCTTCCTTCCTTTCTTCTTTCTTTCCTTCTTTCCTTTCCTCTTTCCTTTCTTCCTCCCTCCCTTCTTTTCTCCTTCCCTCCTTCCTTCCTTCTTTCTTTCCTCCTTCCTTCTTTCCTCTCTCTTTTCTCTTCACACCTATACCACTGTAACAGTTCCTTACACATGACCTCTCTCTCCTCCTTCCTAGCTATTTTCTCCTTCTCTAGGGTCCCTAACAAATTCTGAGGATGAAAATTACAAAACAATTCTTACTGGATCCACTCTGAATTCATACTCTCTGACCTCAATATGAATCTTCACTGCTCAGAAATCCTTTTTTGAATCACTTTTGAGTTCCCTAAAGTGTCAGAAATGTTCTTCATGCTCCCTAATCTCTCAGTTTTACTCCCACATATCTGAATCTGAGCAGGTGAACTCAACTCCTATTTTACTGAGAAGACCAAAGTTATTCAAGGTTATATTTATTGAGAAGACCATATTCCCCTCTAGCTACCCTCTTCCCCAGTCCCAAACCCCTTGGCATCTCTGCTCAGTTCTTCTTCCTTCCCATAAGATGACAAGGAAGAGGCTTCTCACTTCTTTGCCAGAGTTTATTCATGCCCTTTATCTATATCTTCAAACCCCCTCCAGAAATTTTCTTTCTAAAATATGGTGTTCCTTATGCCTAAAGGGCTATAAAAATGTGCATACCCTTTGACCCAGCAATAGCACTTCCAGGGCTGTATCCCAAAGAGATCATAAAAATGGGAAAAGGACCCACATGTACAAAAATATTTATCACAACTCTTTCTGTGGTGGCAAAGAATTGGAAATTGAGGGGATGCCTATCAATTGGGGAACAGCTGAACAAGTTGTAGTATATGAATGTAATGGAATACTATTGTGCTATAAGAAATGATGAGCAAAGAAAAACCTGGGAAGACTTGTATGTATTGATGGCTGAGTGAAGTGAGCAGCACCAGGAGAACGTTGTACACAGTAACAGCCACATTGTGTGATGACTAACTTTGATAGACTTAGCTCTTCTGAGCAATGCAAGGATCTAAGACATCTCCAAAAGTCTCATGATGGAAAATGCTATCTACATCCAAAGAAAGAACTATGTAGTTGGAATGCAGATCGAAGTAAACTAGTTGCTCTTTTTTTCTTCTGTTTTCTTTCTTGTGGTTTTTCCTATTGATTCTAATTCTTCTTTACAACATGACTAATGTGAAAATATGTTTAATAGGAATGTATACGTAGAGCCTGTATCAGATTGCACACTGTCTTGGGGAGGGAGGGGGAGAAAATTTAAATTCAAAAGCTTATGGAAGTGACTGTTGAAAACTAAAAATAAATAAATTAATAAAAAAAATATAGTGTTCCAAACCAAATATGATTGGTCAGCATTTTGTAATACCCCTAAATGTAGTCTGATCAGAGTATAGGATAGCACTATTTCAATATTCTAAATATTCTGGGGTCTTGTTGATGTGAATATTCCTTCCAATGATGCAGATTACAGCCCTTTACTGGTTGCTCAACCTGTGTTTGTCTTCCCATGCCTTTAACACAGACAATCCATTCAAAATTCTGGTGCCTTCTTGTGTTCTCTTGTGAATATAATCCTGGAGTGTGGTTATTCCTTGCTCTGATTATGTGACTGACCACTCTTTTTGATCAAAAACTTCTTTAATGACATCATTTATACTGCTTCTACATAATTCCTAGTGTTACAGTCTGCTCATAATCACCATTCAGCTTTCCATTATCCTTTGAGTGTTCTTAAACTTTAATTCTTCAGAGACTATAATATTCTATGACTTGAAGTCATACAATTCCACCAGAAGAATATTAGCAACTAGGTGGCACAGTAGATAGAGCTCTGGAACTGAAATCTGCAGGATCTAAGTTCAAATTTGGCTTCAGGCACGTACTAGCTGTTTGTTCCTGGGCAAGTCACTTAACTTCTGTCTGGCCTCAGTATCCTCAATTGTAAAATGGGGATAATAACAGCACTTACCTCCCAGGGTTGTTGTGAGCATCAAATTAGATAGTATTTGTAATCAATTAGCTCAGTGACTGATGCATAGTAGGCACTTAATAAATGCTTATTTCTTTCCCATCTTCCTTGGTGTTAAAAGGATGGGTTAATATTTGATAATTTTGGATCATCAGAAGAACTTTGTAATTTCCCAAAAGCAATCCAGCCTGCTCTCTTCCTCCTGTACTGTGTAAATATGCATACATATACAGATGTGTGTATATATAGATACATGTATATATGGAAATTACAATTAGATATGTGTGTACACACATACACTTATTTAATTTATAGGCTATGCATCTATAAACATGTGAACTACCTATTATAGCTATCAAATCAAATCAATTTTTCTAAAAACAAAAAACAATAACAAAAATCTTGAGTTTTTAAGGCCATATACAAGTCAATAGTGTGACGTGATAGCCAGACTAATACAACTGAGAGCTAAAGCTTCTAGGAACAAGGAGATAATAATCCACTATTGCAACTCAAAATCAAGACCTCTTTTGTCCTGGCAACTGTGCAGCCTAAGAGCATTTTATCTTTTTTTGGCCTCCACATCACAATATAATAAGCTTGCAGTCAACTAAAACTCCTGGATCTTTTCCAAGTTGTTATCTAACTGTTCCATTTTCACCTTGTACTTGTGGACTTAAAAAAATAAACAATCGAAACGCTTTGCTTCACGTTGACACTGGCAGGACAACTGTTTCATTTATGAGTAACACCAGCAGGTAGGGTTCAAAATTGCTACTCAAAGTGTTATGTCTCAGTAAGCAACCAGGGGGCACTCTAGGTTCAAGCAGCCTCAGCTCGATATTAGGCATGTGCCAACCATTCAGTTGAGTTACTATCTAATTGAACCACTAGATGGTGTTCATAGCTTGAATTATACCACCTCCCTCCCGGTACATACATGAAACACCAGTTTTTGCTAGCCTGGGCTTTTCCCAGTGCTTTCCTTGTCTATCTTTCTAGGATAGTTCACAAATTTCATATGACTCCACCTCCATCCGTTTGACATTCTACCCTCTTTCCCAAGTCGTATGACCCTGAAAGATTATTCACTTAAAGAACATTTACAAAAACAGAACCAAAATTATTGATGCACAGGATTAGGACCCCAGAACAGAGGCTATTTCCAGGCAAAATCTAAAATTTCAGCTTCCCCCATGCAATTTTCTATGCCTGGTTTTCATCAGGTGTACCTAGATAC